GTGTGAACTTTTACGTGTGTGAACTGTGACGTGTGAACTTTTACGTGTGTGAACTGTGATGTGTGAACTTTTACGTGTGAACCATGTTTTTTTAATTGTGCCACTTATTGGGAAACACGAAGGATCAACTTATAGATATATATAAGCCACCATAGGTTTATATACAAAATATTAGGTTATAACCTAGAACATCAAATCTCCATAACTTCTGAATAAATCCATTAAATTACCACAACCATATTTAAATGACTTTTAAAATATATATACCCAAAGGGTAATATTCATGTATATATATATACAGATGTAAATTATCCTTCTAATCACTGATGAAATATTTCTGGTATATTGAGGTATTGAATTACATGAGTAAGAGTTGGTGTACCAGTACATATAAAGAAGTTGAGATTCCTCCCCTGTGTAAATCTCGTGTTCTTTCTCTAGCCTGCCCCCTCCCCCTCCACACACACACACCAGACACCACAGAATCCACTTCCTGTACATTAACTGTGATAGATGTGTAAGAGGAACATTAACACTGTCTATAACTTCCTGTGTAGGTGACCACAACTTCTGGGATGGTCAAACTTCAAACAACCTCCCAGACAGCATACAGAGACAGGTGAAAGTTCTCAACATAAACTCACTCAAAGCTGTATCTCTAAATATAGCTGTATCAATTTTATTCCTATTTTCTGTAGTAGATTAAAATCATGAAATTCTCCATAGTTCAAATTATTGAAGAGACAGTCATCTAAAACTCCTGGTTAAGGATTGGCATCCGATAGCACAGCCAGTGCATATCCTATATGTCAGGTATATACCCAGACTTGGATTACTTTACCATGTAAACCACAAAATTTCTTATCTGCGTAAAGGATTTTTACTTTGAAATCTGACACACCCTTGTCTTTGTATACCTACGCATAATGGAGATCGTAATCAGTAAATATCAAATTTGTATCTAAAAAGTACAAAAAAAATCATATAGTTATGTTTCTAATGCAGACTTTTCCTGGACGCAGATCGAGACATCCTCTGTAAACATTAATACACCTACTGACATCTCACCATATACAGTAACAGCTCATCTCAGACTATTTTATGAATGAATGACACATACTACGATACTTACTATAAACCTATCTCCTGGTAATCTACACTTGAGCCTGGATATATGTTGACCCCTGGGTCAATTGATGTGGTGAGATGTACTTTACTGAGTATATAGAGACATACAATCCTGTTACACTACTAGATGATGGAGAGGAGAGAAAAAAAGACATATGTCGCATCTCAAGAATCCAATTAATTTCTGATGTGGTACCTAAGAAATGAAGTAATACATGTATAACTAATGCTTATCACTGAGGAAAAGCAGGATAAAATCAGGTCACAGCCAAAAGAAACTATCAGAAAACTGTATCATAATTAATTATACCAGTGACATTGGCATATTAGTTAAACAGGAGAGGAAAAATGCATAGCCAGACCTGCTATAACCTTTTCACCACCGTTGACCATAATGGACTCACCCCCATAAATGCATGGAAGAGTCTACTAAAGTTACCTAGAGGTGAAAGGGCTAACTATGAGCTACCTGGTACCTGGTGGTCAACCCAGTCCAGTTCTGCTATGTAAATATTTACTGTACGACTTTATATATGATACATTAGTTTGTTAATTAAGAGGGAAAACCCATGTGTCTTTTTTACAGAATAAATACGGTAGTTCGCCAGTAAGAATGGAAAACCCAAATGTTTTACTTGAGTGTAACTACAGAAGTTGGTAAGTAAGCAGGGAAAACCCAGGTATCTTTTTTACAGTATAAATATGGTAGTTTGTTAGTAATAATAGGAAACCTATATGTCTTTGAATGTAGAAAGTAGGAGGGCAAAACCCAAATGTCTTATTTACAGTATAACTACGGTAGTTGGTAAGTAGGAGGGAAAAACCCAAATGTCTTACGGCTAGGGCAACTACTGTAGTTGGTAAAGTAAGTGGGGGAAAACCTGGTGACTTATTTACAGTATAACTACGGTAGTTCGTAAGTAGGAGGGGAAAACCAAAATGTCTTACGGACAGGGCAACTACGGTAGTTGGTAAGTAAGAGGGGAAAAACCTGGTGACTTATTTATAGTATAACTACGGTAGTTGGTAAGTAAGTGGGTAAAACCCTGGTGACTTATTTATAGTATAACTACGGTAGTTGGTTAGTAAGTGGGGAAAACCCTGGTGACTTATTTATAGTATAACTATGGTAGTTGGTTAGTAAGTGGGGAAAACCCTGGTGACTTATTTATAGTATAACTAAGATAGTTGGTAAGTAGGAAGGCAAAACTCAAATGCCTTATTTACAGTATAACTACGGTAGTTGGTAAGTAGGAAGGAAAAACCCAAATGTCTTACGGCTAGGGCAACTACGGTAGTTGGTAAAGTAAGTGGGGGAAAACCTGGTGACTTATTTACAGTATAACTACGGTAGTTCGTAAGTAGGAGGGGAAAACTGAAATGTCTTACGGCCATGGCGACTATGGTATTTGGTTAGTAAGTGGGGAAAACCCTGGTGACTTATCTATAGTATAACTACGGTAGTTGGCCACGGTAAGTAAGAAAGGGAAACCGAGGTGTCTGATATCGATGTACAGTATAACTACGGTAGTTGATCATTAAGAGGGGAAAACCCAGCCTGAACATGCAGCCTACTGTACAAGACATAAGGGATTTCCTCTGGTAACAAACAAGTCTCTGGAGGCAGGTGGAACCTATCTATAATCAGACTTGTTCAAATATAGTTTACAATCTCTTCATCAGTTCAAGTGCTAATGTCAATATGACAGAATTGCTGTAGGTGACTGTACAGGTGTAAGTGATAAGGATTTGACAGATCTAGTACAGCACTGCATGATGGTACCAGGTTTTTATACTTGTGCAACTTTTACCTGTTGTGTAATATATTGTTAGGTCAATAAGTCTAAACAGAAATCCTTTGTTCAAAGTTCAAACAAAACTTGTTTGTTTCCGCGATGAAATTTTAAAACATTATATTTTCGCAAAATGCAAAAATAGAGGAAGTGGCAAATTCGATATTGCAAGTCATACTTTTTGTTGAGGTAGAATAATCGTCTGGTCAGAAATCTCAATTTTGTGACAATTTCAGAATATCAGACTTTGAAATGTAGCGGATCTGGACTGGGCAATCACCAGCAACCAGGTAGCTCAATTGGTAGAGTGTCCTGTATTCCCCATCTCTGGACTCCTAAGTATACATACTGTATTGTGTATACTGTTCATTACAGCCTGTATACCCCATCTCTGGACTCTTATTATACATACTGTACTGTGTATTCTGTTAGTTACAGCCTGTATACCCCATCTCTGGACTCTCATTATACATCCTGTATTGTGTATACTGTTAGTTACAGCCTGTATACCCCATGTCTGGACTCTTATTATACATACTGTACTGTGTATTCTGTTAGTTACAGCCTGTATACCCCATCTCTGGCCTCTTATTATACATACTGTACTGTGTATACTGTTAGTTATAGCCTGTATACCCCATCTCTGGACTCTAAGTATACATACTGTACTGTATCTACCGTTAGTTACAGCCTGTATACCCCATCTCTGGACTCTAAGCATACATACTGTACTGTATCTACTGTTAGTTACAGCCTGTATACCCAATCTCTGGACTCTCATTATACATACTGTACTGTGTATACTGTTAGTTATAGCCTGTATACCCCATCTCTGGACTCTAAGTATACATACTGTACTGTATCTACTGTTAGTTACAGCCTCTATACCCCATCTCTGGACTCTCATTATACATACTGTATTGTGTATACTGGTAGTTACAGCCTGTATACACCATCTCTGGACTCTTATTATACATACTGTACTGTGTATTCTGTTAGTTACAGCCTGTATACCCCATCTCTGGACTCTTATTATACATACTGTACTGTGTATTCTGTTAGTTACAGCCTGTATACCCCATCTCTGGCCTCTTATTATACATACTGTACTGTGTATACTGTTAGTTACGGCCTGTATACCCCATCTCTGGACTCTTATTATACATCCTGTACTGTGTATACTGTTAGTTACAGCCTGTATACCCCATGTCTGGACTCTTATTATACATACTGTACTGTGTATACTGTTAGTTATAGCCTGTATACCCCATCTCTGGACTCTAAGTATACATACTGTACTGTATCTACTGTTGGTTACAGCCTGTATACCCCATCTCTGGACTCTCATTTTACATACTGTACTGTGTATACTGTTAGTTACAGCCTGTATACCCCACCTCTGGACTCTAAGTATACATACTGTACTGTATCTACTGTTGGTTACAGCCTGTATACCCCATCTCTGGACTCTCATTATACATCCTGTATTGTGTATACTGTTAGTTACAGCCTGTATACCCCATCTCTGGACTCTCATTATACATACTGTACTGTGTATACTGTTAGATGTTCAATCAATAGAGCTGGTGCTGGCTGCTGCAGCTGTGTACACTAATCTACCATTTCTGGTTCTATTACATTTAGTAATTATATCAATTACGTCCAATAAAGAACATGATTTACCCTGTAACGCTGACACAAACTTAGGCAATAAGACAGATTTACTGATGATAAAACAAACATGGTATAATTACGCCTAACTATAGCCAGACTAACTCTATTGTACATGTTGTTATGTATAAGTCGGGGGGGGGGGGGGGGGGGGGTATTCACCATAGCTTGAATCTCTTTAATCAAGGCCAATAATCCATAGTAGAAGTTAACATCGACAAGCTGTATTGTAGGGAATATAAATAGGGCACTGAGTGTACAACACAGTCTTAGTACACACATCTGTTCTAGTTAAACATTACCGGGTGACAGAATCAATCAATATTTGTTCACCTCATCACAGTCACTTCAGTACAAAAAGACTAATGTTTATACTGACATCTACAGAGTACAGCATGACCAACTCACCTGGTCCTCCTGAAGGAGGCCCGACGCTTGTCAACGTCCACGAAGTAACTGCTTAGCATCCTGGCGATTAATACACACTAACACAATAAGATTTAACAGAGAACATTAAATCTCTCCTGACAGATCATGACTGTTGATCCTGGAAACCTACATTTAACCTTACCAACGGTTTTGCACTTTTATCAAAACCAGTTGTCAATTTCGATTCCTCACTTAGCCATGAGTATGTCACTCATATCTTAACACACTGCACCGTTTGATTATAAACTATTCTTCCGATCCTTTGTATAAGTTCATCCTTTTTAAATGTTACTAATCCTTCCAAGGCGACACACATTCATATTTTTCCACTGAGTAGTTTTTCAAATCACATGTCATTTCAAATCTGTTTAAAATCAACTTAAAATTGACCATGCAGAAGTGAATAATAATATGGGTGATTTAAATTTCCAAAGACGTCATCTACACTTTGACAACCTCAACAAATTAGTAGATAAATTCTAGTGTCCACTAAGGAAACTCCAACCCTTTAAATGAGTAGTCCCTACCACCAGCTGACGAGGCAGCAGACCCAACCGAGTCAAACGTCTTTGTGTAAGTGAAACAAGATTACATGAACACTCTACAAATGGAGTTGACGTCTGTGTCTGTCAGGTTTTCTTTACTGACGGTGTCACACGACTTTTCCCCCTAAGCTCCCGACCTTCAAGTTCACGCTTGAGTAATGATGCAGAGGATCAGCAGAAGGTATCTTGGTCAGGAGGGGGTAAAAATATGTAAATCAGCACACCGGTATACCAGACCAAAGACAAATCTGTTACCCAGATTGTACGGTACCTAAAGCCTGCCCAAGTGTTACAAAACCACTGCACAGTCTTACCAAGGTAAACAAAGTTTTTAATAGCCCCATATCTAGACCCACGCTGTCTAACGACAGATGCAGTTTACCTGACTAAGAAATATCTGTGACGAAATCTCCAAGTCATTCCGTTCAAACTGTAATACCTAAGTACAGCTATCATCTGCCTACCACTTAACACAGTGTTATGTAAGACAGAAGCTGTTTTCATGGGCAGGAATTTTTTGCTAAATTGATAAGGAGGATATAGGATGTACAATTTCTGATACATAAACGATGGAATTTGTTATCACAGCAGACAATCTCAAGTGGGAGTCAGGTGATGGACCACTGACTGTATGAGATAAACACGGAAAGGATGAACAAATAAAAAGTACAGAAAAAATATATAATAAAAAATTATTAAATTTAGCAAAAGATTAAGAAAGCTTGTTTTGTTGAACAAAAAAGGTTTTAAAAAGATCTAAAATATTATTGGTTATTTTCCAGCATTTGAAGGCTTTTAACTTTCTTTAACAAAGAGAACTTTGAGCCACATGCTAACTATAACCTACGTACCCCTATCCCAAATCCACACCCACCCTGAATCCTGAGGAAGAAATGTTACATTATTTTCATTGAAGGGCAGTTCAGTATTAATTTGAAAAGTCAAATATACATAAATAATATGAATTTTGAATGATATTAAACTGTGAATTAATGAAAATATCTTCACATCTTTATCTAGCAGAAATTTCAATCAGCTAAATAAATTTCTATTTGATCATTAATTTGGTCTGTTTTACAGAAACTATGAAAATTATGTATATATATATTATAGAAAATATTTTATATATCAGTCTGCAGCTGTTTCATTGTCATTTTTAATACCCAATATACAATATGTACATAAATATTCATCAGTATTGTTGACCCACATACAATCTTATATGTGAAAAGCAGAGCAGCACATGTCTAGACAATATCGGTTATAAATATGTATTTATACATGTACTAAAACCATATCAACATAAACAGCAAACCAATAAACACCCTGTTAAATACAGGATCTGGTTTAATGACTGTGAATTAATCACAATGTGTGTATTCATTGTTAATGAGATAACAAATTTTACCTTGGTGAGTATGAAGTGAGTCAGTTCAAGCTATCTATAAAGCCTGGTTAGATTACGATAATCCATGGAAAATGGATTTCTTTATCATTGAATAAATAATGAAAAGTAAAAAGTCTATGTATACATCTGTATAAGATGCATATCTTCGTAAACAATGTATATACCAGTACAATGCATCAACAGGCTGTATTGAATATTTTGAAACAGTCAAGTTTTCACGCATAAAGTACCAGGCACATTGTAAGTAGATTTATCTGTGACTTTGAAAACCATGCTGTACAAAATGTAAATGTGCATCTTTAATTCTCTTTAGCAAAGTAAACTGTAGCAATTCCTAAATGTTTATATACATTTTTAAATTCAATCTAAACAAGGTAAAGTATTGTAAGAATTTCATACCTCCCCATCTCTAAATATAATTCGGAAAAATCAAACAAAGGGCCACAACTCTGCATAAAGTTGGACCCAATTTCAGTACCAGACAAACTGTGAATCCATAGGGTACCCATATACAAAATTTGGCAATTGTAGGTGATCAGATTTGAGATGTGCCTCGGACAAAGTGATACAAGGTCAACAAAGGGAAGTAACTCTAGGTATAATGGGGAATGAGACTCAATTTCAGTATGCTCCACTCCACAAAAAAGCCTGTCAATCATAGGTGACAGAGTATGTTAAGTATGTCTTGGACAAAGTCACATATCGACACATGGACGAACAGTGCAAACCAATAGTCCAATCTGACAGTACCTGTTGGGGACTTATAATGTCTAAAAATGTATTTCCCAAACAAAATTTTGAAATGGCAAAATGTGACAAAAGTAGAATGATTGCTTACAAATACATTTGTGTTACAAAAATTCAATTTAAAATGTTGATGAAATGTATTGTGTTTCCTATATAGAATTTTTCATTGATTGCTGTTTTTTGTAAGGATCACTACTATAAGCTGTATAGACATGTTGGAACTGGTCAATAAACAGTTAATTAATTATCCACACTTATCTCCAATCTACGTACAATGAACACATCCCTGTACAATAAATATATCCTCACACTCAACAACCAAGGCTGATTTGTCAATAAAGATAAACATCTGTATATAAGAGGTAATGGATATTGGTTCATTCTTGATTAACACCCTTAAGTAGCCAGAAAAAATCCGGCTGCCTACCAACCTTGTACTATACCAGTCAAAATACTGTGACCATCTCATAAATATTCATTAAGTGACATCAAATTTTGTCAAAAGATCATGAATATTCATTAATGGGCATCTAATAACAGGGTCAATTATCTCTCTTCATTAATTATTCATGAAGCGTTTAGAGTAACAGGAATGTCTAATCAAGAAATTGCCCATTGATTCAATTAGAAGAAAATTGTCCATTAATTAGTCAACTGCCAATATTAAGTGATTGTCGATTGATATTCAAGCACAGACCTTGGATTTCAATACACAGCTGCAGTGTTGACACCGGAGATGTTCCATAATATATATCATACCTCTTATATTGTCATCTATAGCTACATTATCGTCCTGTTACTGTTGTTCTGCCTTAAAAACCAACAAGGTACAAGATTCAATGGTCTGCCCTTTAATTTGAAGTCAATCTGTATGACAACTGGTATTATAAATGGTGTTTCGACAGGCAAGAGGAAAGGAAGTGCTACTTTAGGAGGCCTAACAAAATGTTCAATGTAACAGATTACAACAGGTCCAAATTGTTTAGAATCAATTATAATATTAGCTCATAATCATGTGAGGCATTGAGAGGGTGACACAATAAAGTCAGCACTTTATAAATAGATCACTGAAGGTTTTTTAATTGTAATTGTGAAGAAAAGCATATGAATAAAACAATTTCTTCATAATTCAATCTTTCCTACGAAACTTCATCACTTTGACTCTGAAATAAGATGTCAGAAACACAAACCTTTCAATGTAGTGTTATTTTGTTATCATCACATTTTCTCTAACAAATGACATATAATAATACAACATTTGATATATATAGCACCCTATCTAGCTAGAATAAGCCACTCTAAAGCACTTTATATTACATAGATATACAATTTATACAATCAATACAATTAACCTATACTTTGAATTATACATTAATCAAATTTTGAGGAATTTAAAGCAGAATTTACTATAGTCTGTACTCTGGAAATTCAGGCAGGTCTATCACAGATATCCAGGTATACCATGTTTGCATTAGTTAGGGCTCAGGATGTAAGCTGAAAGAGACGGGACACTTATTAAGGTAATCAAAAATAAGTTACGGCAGTTGCTGGCTGTAGAGGTGACGTAACTATCAGACACATTCCAAGGAAAAATTCCATAACTGTTTGCTCCTTTTTTAATGGGAGGGTTGCTTACAGTAGGAGTGGAACTAGTTAAGGGGAATAGGGTACAGTTTGTAAAGCTATGTCGCCAGGAATGGTCCACTGCTAGAATATTGTTCTTTCCTTGTACTAAAAAAATATTTTCAGAGATACCTATCCCCAGTACCACAATTCCTCAGATATTTTTAAGAACGGATCCAAAGATGTAAGTCCCATATCTCTAAACATTATAAGTTGCAGACATTTCACTGGATGTTATATACTTCCTCAGCAGCAGCAACTTTGATAATTTACCAAATGAATGGAAGGCAGAAGTGTATAGGAAAAGTAATCACAAAAACGGGTCTAGTATTGATAGTATACAATGAAATATAATATTTTTGCCCAGCAACGTTTTCATCCTTGTGTCTTTTATAGTGTCCAATGCCCTGCCTTGAATTCGCCATTGCTATTTGAAATTTTGCTTATATCAAAAATTCGCCCTTTTTTGTTGCATTGTAAGTAATATAATCCCTGCAGACTTGGTTCCCTTTTTTCGAAGGCTAAAATCTGGTGAAAATAAAGTTAATGTTAATTTGCAATTTTAAATTATTATCAGGTTTTATAACCATGTTCACTAACCATGCACATATGACTTTGATTTTCAAGGATAACTTCTTCCTTGGGATGGTAAGGGTTAGACAGATATGATAGAAAAAGTCACTGTATCTCTTCGCACCTCAAATCACGTTTTTTCTCAAATTAATTTCTGACTCAGAAAATCCTAGCTTTGTTTACAGTTTACCAGATATATTTAGACAATGTACTTATTGTATATGTCATCTATAGTACAGAAATGTCAGAATCCCTTACTGCTTATGAGTTAAAGAAAATCTGATTCACACCGGTTGAAGACAGACAACATGCAAAGCCACAGACAAGGAATGATGTGTTGGATCACCCTTTACATTAGATGGTCTCCCCAGTCCACTGGCTTCTGTGCAGAACTGTCACACTCGGCCACCATCACTGTGCACCTTGACAAATGGTATGTCAGTATAGTCTAATGTCAAATAAATCTTCATTTCCTTTAATTTGTTATTAGTGCTAATCCCCTCCAATTACCCCCTCCCCCATCATCAGCGTCATTGAGTCAGCCACTAGGTGGCGAGCCTATCTGTGTACTGTTGTCGTTAACCATTGACCCAGTTCTGCCGCAAATCTGATCAATGACATTTACAAACAAATGCTAAAACTGTATAAGAAACAGTCTCGCAAAAAAAAAATCAATGATGTTACATGAAGTGGGATCTAATCAATTTCACATGTGGTTATACCAGAGCGTATTGATGAGAGCGTATTGATGAGAGCTCAGTATTACACTGTGTGGTTATACCAGAGCGTATTGATAAGAGCTCAGTATTACACTGTGTAGTTATACCAGAGCGTATTGATGAGCCAAGTATTACACTGTGTGGTTATACCAGAGCGTATTGATGAGCCCAGTATTACACTGTGTGGTTATACCAGAGCGTATTGATGAGAGCTCAGTATTAC